ATAATATAAAATATTTATATTCAAAATATACAAAAATATATGAATTTAATATAAAAATTTATATAATTATATTCTAAATATACAAAAATGTATAAATTTAATATAAAAATTTACATAAAATTAATTATAAATACTATAATTATTAATAAAACCAATTTATCAAATTTATTAATCACCATCTAAACTTTAAAGCTTGAAATTAAAGAGATTGGGAATTTCACTCCCACTTCTTCCTTGAAAAAAAAATTCCCCCGTCTCTGAAAATTTCTAATGTTAAAAAAGAAAAACTATAATTATTAATAAGTTAAATATTTAATTTGGTCCTGAACGATTGTACAAAACCTTAATTTAGTTCCTAAACTAAAACAATTCTTAATTTGGTTCTTAAATTATTGTACAGATCTCGATTTGGTCCATATTATTTACCAATTTGTCCTAAGTTGATCATTTTATACAAAAACAACTAACGTGTCTCGTTATTAATGTGACATGTGACTGTTAAATTACAATTTTTTTCATTAAATACTAGATATTTCAGTTTTTTTTTTACGAAATGATTAATTTAAGGTAAACTAATAAATAATAATGACCAAATTAACATCTGTACAATAATTCATAAATCAAATAAAAAAAATTTTAATTTAGGAACCAAATAAAAAATCTGTATAATAATTCAAAAACTAAATTAAATATTTAACCTTATTAATATTTAATATATATCGTGAGAATACCATTTAAATAAATTTAATATAAAATTGATATTTCTCCCTCACATGTAATTTCTGACTCCATTAATAGCTGTCATGTCTTGATGTCTATAGGAGGTTTCAAGGACACATTTCATATGGCGCTGAGCTCTAGATTCTCAACGCCTAGTGTACAATATCTTATGCTGATAAATAATTGTACACTTTCACCCACTCAATAATTGTACATTTATACAGTGATGTATTGATTTTTTAATTTTTAATATTATTAAGATGTGAATATAATTATATTTAAATTTATTATAAATATTTTATATTTTATAATAATTTTTTTTTATATTTTAAATTTTAAAATATTTTTTTTATAAACACTTATATATAAATTATTGTATATATAATATTATTTTAAAAAGCAATAAACATTTTTTCAAATTATTATTATTTTCTTTGTTTCCAACTTAGTATCAGAGCTATAAACTTTTAGTTTTTTTCTTTTATCATCGCTATTTGGTTTTTTGAAGTTAGATTTTGAATTCCATTTCAAATCTGAACTTTGTCGTTGGAATCTCTTTTTCAACAGATTGGATTGTTTATCTTTAGTTCTTAGGTCCTTTCTGAGGTATTTTGTTGGTTTATTATTTCGATCTTGACATCTATTTCTTCATATTTTTTAGATTTTTTTCAGTATTGTGAGTTTTACTAATTTTATGGCAAGTTTTGAAAGGACTATAACTCACCCTGCTACTGTTATGGTTGACAGAAAAGTAATAGACCAATCTAATGTCAACCTTGAATCCCTAAAACATGTGATATGAAATCATTTTAATGCTCCTGCTGCTTTATCTACTGCTCTAGGCACCAAACCTTAATATTTTGATTATGATTGTTGTAACCATATGTCTTCAATTACTACGCATTTCTCTTTAATGTTATCAAATAATTCCTTTCTACATATTTATTCTACTGATGGTTCCCCTATGAATGTTAGTCACGTTGGCAATATTTTTATAAAGTCATTGACTTTACCAAATGCCTTCTTAACTCTAAAACTTAGTTATAATCTTCTATTTATCAGTCAATTATGTGATCTTGGTCTTGAAGTAACATTTTCTGCTCATGGATGTCATGTGTAGGAGTCACGGACAGGACAACTTCTTGGAATAGTCACAAGGTGGGGCGTTTATTTGAACTAAACTATCTGCATATTCCTGATAATAAAATGGATACACCATCATTTCCAAATGATTAATTCATCCAAACCTTGCTTTGTGCTGTTGAATTAGAGTCTCTACAAATTTCATACCAACAAATTTTGCAAGCCTGTGTTGCTACTAAAGTTTCTCCTCTCCATTTGTAACACTCACGGCTCGGACATACCTCAGTCGGTAAATTTCGTCCACTTATCTCTCGTGGTTTATTAGGGTCAGTTCCGAATGAATTCTTGCATTGTGTGTCATGTCAATTTGCAAAGCAACTAGCTTTATCTTTTTCGAGTAGTCACTCTCATTCTACTGCTTCTTTTGATATCGTGCATTCTAATGTTTGGAGTCCATCTCCTACACCCATCATAGGTGGTTCCAAGTACTTCGTGTTATTTATTGATGATCATACTCGTTTTATATGAATATACTTTATGAAAAATCACTCTGAATTATCACAAATTTATATTGATTTTACTACCATGATTAAAACTCAGTTCTTTAAAATTATCAAAGTTTTGAGAATTGACAATGCTACTGAATATCTTGGTACTAAACTTTAGTCTTTTTTAAAAGAACAAGGTACACTAACACAACAATCTTGTTCTTACACTTCTGAACAAAATGGGCGAGCTGAACGCAAACACAAACACATCCTTGATTCAATTCGTGCTTTGCTCATTTCATCATCTTGTCCAGACTGATTTTGGGGTGAAGTTGCTCTTACAGCTATTTATATTATTAATCGCATTGCATCATCAGTCCTTAATAACCAGTTTCCATATGAGCGTTTACATGGTATTCTTCCTGCCTATAATCTTCTTAAGGTTTTTGGTTGTGCATGTTTTGTTCTTCTTCCACCTCATGAACATAACAAGTTAGAGCCTAAAGTTCGATTATGTTGTTTTTTGGGTTATGGGATTACATAAAAAGAATATAGTTGTTGGGATCCTGTGTCACAAAAACTTCGAGTTTCATGTCATGTTGGTTTTTGGGAACACACTATGTTCTCATCATTGTCAAACTTCAAGGTGTCATCCTCTCATCAACTTCCATTTTTTACTAATCTTTCTATTAAGCTATTTCCTAGTAATTCTAATGTAGGTACATCTGATGAGCTCTACAATGCCTCACCACATGCTCCAACTAGTTCTGTAGAAAATGATCTGCCTGCTGGTAATGCATTAGATAATTTTGACCCTTCTTCTACTTCCTCGTCTATATCGCCTGTTGATGTTGCATCTGAGCTTGTTGTCCCATCCTTGAGTCATCCTACTCGAGTAAGAAACCCTGCCAGCCACCTTCGTGATTATCATTGTTTTCCTGCTATTACTTCTTTACATGAGCCTCAATCTTATCAAAAGGCCTCTTCTAACCCTCTTTGGCAACAAGCTATGCAAGATGAATTACAAGCTCTTGAGAACACTCTTACATGGGATTTAGTTGATCTCCATGTTGAAGAGTCTTTAATAGGTTGTAAATTGGTGTACAAGATCAAAACAAGATCTGATGGTTCCATGGAGCGCTATAAGGCACGCTTGGTTGCCAAGTGTTTAACACAAGAGTATGGAATAGACTATGAGGAAACATTTGCTCCAGTTGCTCGTCTCACATCTGTGCACAGTTTGCTTGCTATTATTGCTATATGGAGATAGAAATTGTTTCAAATGGATATGACAAATGCTTTTCTTAATGGTGACCTAGAAGAAGAAGTTTATATGAAACCACCTCCTAGGCTCAACCATCCTCCAAACAAGGTATGTCGATTGCGACGTGCATTATACGGGTTGAAGCAATCCCCTTGAGTCTGGTATGCCAAGTTTAGTGCTACTGTGAGTGAGTTTGGTTTTACTTCCAATTCACATGATACAGCTTTGTTCATTCGTAAGACTGATCGGGGTATGGTTCTTTTACTTTTTTATGTTGACGACATGACTATTACTAAAGATGATGTCGTAGGTGTTGAGGAGCTAAAACAATCTCTCAGTTAGAAATTTGAGATGAAAGATCTTAGTGTTTTGAGCTATTTCCTTGGGCTTGAAGTCACCTCTTCAAATGATGGCTACCTACTTTCTCAAGTAAAGTATGCCTCTTATCTTGTTTCTAAAACTGAACTCAATAATAGTAAAAGTGTTTTACACCTCTTGAACCTAATGTCAAGCTTACACTTATGGATGGCTCTCCACTTTCTGATCCTACTCGTTATCGGCAATTGGTTGGTAGTCTGATTTATCTTACTACGACACGCCTTGATATAGCATATGCAATTCATATTGTTAGTCAGTTTATGGTTGCTCCTCGCTTCACTCATTATATAGCGGTACTTCGCATTATTCGCTATATTAAGGGAACGTTATTTCATGGACTCCATTTTTCTGCCAACTCCTCTCTTGTGCTTCATGCTTACTCTGATGCTAATTGGGTTAGTGATCCTTCTAATCGTCAATCTACCACTAGTTATTATCTTTTCCGTGGTAATTTTCTTATCTCTTGGCGGAGTAAGAAACAAACTATTTCATCTCGCTTTAGTACTGAAGCTGTGTATAGAGCTCTTGGTGATACCACATTAAAACTTCTTTTATTACGGTGGATTCTTGAAGATATGGGTATTCCTCAATCTTCTTCTACTGATTTATATTGTGATGATCAAAGTGCTATGCAGATTGCTCATAATGATATCTTCCATGAACGTACTAAACACATTGAAGTTGATTATCACTTTGTTCCCCACCATGTTGCACAAGGAACTATTTATTTGGTTTTTATTAGCTCCACTGATCAACCAGCAAACCTCTTTACAAAGACATTTTCCTAGACGCTTTCGTACTTTTCTTTTCAAACTCAAGTTGGTTTTATCATAACCACCTTAAGTTTAAAAGGGATGTTAAAATATGGACACAATTATATTTAAAATTATTGTAAATATTTTATATTTTATAATATTCTCTTTATATTTTTTATACTTTAAAATATTTTTTTTTGTAAACATCTATATATGTGTCATTATATATATATATAATATTATTCAAAAAAACAATAAACTTTTTTTTTTTAAATTATTATTATTATTTTTTTTTGTTTCCAACATGTGGGACTAATAATTGCTTTTTCTGAATT